CCCCCCCCCCCCCCAATGTCAGGACTGTTTAGGATTTTACATGGCTGTCTTCAAGTTAAGACTCATTAGCTACGTGGTAGGTAGTTTGCGCAATAAACACTGACGGACGTTTGCTATGCGAGTCTCTCAAACATGCGGCTCTGTCTTGCCCCCAGGTGAAAAATGGTTTCCCTGATCACAAACCATGTCATTATGTGAAAACCACAACAGCCGCACAGGATAAATGAGTCATTATTGGATCAAACTAATGACTCTCTTTGGACTGGGTATTGATGATGACTTTCCGTTGGAGAAATGGACAGATTTGTGAATTTTGAGATTATAGGGAGGTCTCCAATTGAATATGAAAAATGCATTAGAAATGAAGGATAACTTTTGTGTTTCCTTTAATATCTGTAATAGCTGGAAAAAATACTCAGAAATGACATAAGGCAGTTCTACGAAACTGTGAATCCAGTATCTGGGCCCTTTGTTTGCTGAATCAAATGCAACAACCTGGACCATGTTACACACATGGTCCTGCCAAGGAGAATGATACAGCCATGAGGCATTTTGTAGGGGGGCAGCTGTTACATTTGTTCTGCGGCTGTAAATTGTGGTTTGGAGAAATGCATCACTTTGGGAGCTCTGAATGCTTTGGTAATGTCCTAATCAAGGTTTCTCCCTGCTGCACTCTCCGTCTCTGCTCTCACCGCCTCATTTTCAAGGGTAAACACTTTCACAGCATGCAAATACCTCATCATTGTGTTTTGTGTGATTTTTGTTCTGCCAGAAATAGTCCCTTTCAACTGTGCGAGGGAGCGAAGGTGTGGTGTTGCTTGTGTGGTGGCGACTTTGTGTTTGTGCGAGAATCCCAAAAAAGCTGGCGGTGAGTTGGACCCGAGTAAAAGCTCTGCGATTTAAAATGACGACGTGGTGGTTCTGGATAATCCTAAAACCCTGCAGCCCGCTGCACTCCAGACTTATCCGGCCATGAAATTAAGATCAGATATAACACAGAGAGGGCCTATCCAAACAGCAACACTGAGATAACACACACTAACACCGCTGTGCACACAAACAAAGCTGGTGGCATATAGTATGTGTTCAGCAAACTTGTGCACATGTGAGCTAACACACAGCGTCAGATAACGAGGACTCAAACAACACACTCCCACATAAATATGCACACATTGCGCTCAAACTGAGGCACAAACATACTCCCGACGTTAAACTGTATGTCACAGCAACAAATAACCTCTGAGGTAATGCGTCGTTGTCCTCGTGCCATTGGGACACTGTGTACACCTCGCTGTGACCGAACATCTGTCGTACTGTGTGTTTGGTTGTGTATGTCAGTGGGGAATGGCCTATAGAGAGCACACTGTGCCAGAGGTGAGATGGCACATGGCTACTGTACTATCACCTAATCTATCGTACGGGTGCTGGATCCAGGCAACTTCTCCTACGCTGTATTGCGGCATTCCAGAGACATTTGAGGAATTACATGGATGCATGCACAGACATACAATTTGTGCAACAATAGAAGCATAAAATTGTAGGGAAGAGTTCAAACGATGATGCCATCATGAACGTGGACTTACCCCGAGGTCTTTCCCTGCCCACTTGCATTCATCCCTCTTCGAGGGGGTGGCAGGCCACGCGATCTGTGCAAATGAGAGAGAGAGACAAAGTCATACTGCGCTGGAGGTGGAGTGCGGAGACTTACGTGTTGTCTCATGAAACAGGGGAAAGCAGTGAGTCAATGCAATGAATCAGACGAAATCAAGATTTGTGATATTCCAGGCGAATGACTTTGGATTGGTCATGCTTTATTTTGACAAGTTACTCGCTCCGTTATTTCCCTGTGTATCCCTGGTCATATCGTGAGAGGTGGATGTGCATACGATACATTAGGGATGGCCTTTTAAACAGCATAATGATAGACTGCATGGAAGTGTAATTAAAAACCAGGAGAATCAAACTGAGGTAAAAATGTGCTGTGTTTATGTGAAATTTAATAATATACATACGTAGGAAGACATGGAAATATATACCCTCTATATTGCATTACATTTTATATGGTCTAGTTCTGGTTCAAATCATGGCATTTGAAGAGTGAAACTCCATTCTACAGCTTAAATCCTGAGCATATGGTTCTACTTTTCACTTCAAATATGAAGAGAAAGCAGGCTTTTGCTACCTTGTTTTGGAAAGGACGCACTGTGAACTAAAGAATAGCTTTGTACTGTCCTTAAGGCGGATCTATCTGGTGTCACATGAATTATAAACACACATGGGGCGCACAAAGGTGCACGTGGAAGGAAATGATTATATATTCAAAAATTGGGTGCGATTGAGCTCACTGGTTTTGCTGGTGGCCACGCAGATGTGGAAAGACAAAGGAAATGTATGCACACGCATGTACATGCATTATTATGTCCATACAACACACACAAACACACACACACACTACACAACTACAATTCCTAATTCTATTCCTAGACTTTATCTCGTCTCTATATCAGCTGAGATTCCCTCTCTTGGGAATCTGCACTGCACATTTCATGGTAATTATATTAAATTTGCTAAATCACTGCTTTTTGGACTTTATCTGATAATGATGGGAAGATCAGAACAAAATAGCGGAAAAGGGAAAAAAAAGTACACATCCGAGCCAAGGGCAAAAAGAAAACGGAGACACACTCTCTCTCTGCATTGACTATGCATTTTTCAGCACTTTCATTCCCCTGCCCGGCTCTCTGCAGCCTGCAGGCAAGTCTGTGTCAGTCTTTGTGTGTCTAAGATAGGAGCCGGAATCTGATAAAAAGCCTGTTAACCTAGTCCAGGTGGAGTAATGGAATTATGGACAGCCCCTGTCTGGACCAAGACAGACAGTGGGAGGGGAGAAGGGAGGGGAGAATGAGGCGGTGTAATGGACTCCAGAGGGAGCAGCAGGAAGAGAAGAGTAGAAAAGTGAAGAGATGTGAAGAGAAGAGAATAGAAGAGAAAACACCTTGCAAACATGGACCAAAACAGCTTGACTCTCACACAAAGCTATAAAATATAGCCAAACTGTAACCAAAGTAAAGATGAGTACATCTGAATTTTACCTGTTTGTGGTCTCTGTTGATGTTGACGAGGTCGAATGAGAAGATGTGGTCCTCGGCTCCGACCAGCAGTCTCCCTCGCTCCTCATCCAATAGGAAAGCGTCGTAGCTCGAGCTGTTGGCCAAGCCATTGAAAGTGACGAGGTTACTGGACTCTAACATCTCTGGAAGAGGAAGAGGAGAAGGAGTTAGTGTTGATCGTGTATTGGGAATGGCTAACAAAAGACTACAAGATCAATTGGAAACAAATCACACATTTTGTGCAGTTCACCCCAGTTAGTAAACTAAAAGTCTGGACTATATGGTGTAAGATCTGTGGCAAAAACTTTAAGATTAAATATTGTATGAAATCACAATTATTCACACTTAAAATGTATGAGTCAGTCTCCCAAGTTGAGTACTTCATTGTTTGAGTACTTGTTTTTGTCTTGCCTCAAAGAAAAATAATATTACTGCGTCCACAATCAAGTTACCTGTATAAAATCAGCGACTCTTTTCATGTTTCCTTAATTGTTTTGCACACACGAAAAGACACACGTCAGTCAGGTATAGCGTGAGACACTTCAAGTGAGCACAGCGTGCCCCAATCAGGGACACAGTTCAGACTGTTCAGCCGTGTGATTGGTTGAATAATTCATATGGAGTCAAGGCCAGGGGAGACACTGTGTGTGGGTAAGTATGAGTGGGTGTGTGGGACATGTAGCTGTAAACTGGTTATTATGTAAATCCGCATTGACGTGTGTGTGACTGCACATGGATTTCTGCAGAGTGTTCCGTCCAGGTGTACTGAGTGTTTAAAGTTTACACTAACAATATGCAGCCAAGCTAAATGGAAACCAGCACAAGACGTAATGTATAATGGGCGGAAGTCGAGCCAGACCTCTGACAGTCGGTTCAGTTTTAACCACCACGAGTTCCATCAACTCTGATATTACATTAACAGAGAACCACACTCCCTTCCCGGGACAGAGTTCACCCCCTGATTGAATTTGGTGTCGGTGAACCTCATGAGCCAGCCCCAGCACAGATATCAGTTCATTTATATTCATTTATCAGTTTACATTTATTAGCATAACTAGATTTCAACAGAACTGGGTGGTCATAGGGCAACCAGTAAATTCAATCAAGTGAATCCATGAAAGATCCAGAATATCCATCTTCATTCAGTCTGTAGTCATAATACAAAATGGAAGCAATTAGATGATTTGATCAGCAGAAAATGTACATGAAATGTACATGCAAAAATCTAGCTCGAGCTTTTAAAATGAGAGGACTTTGCTATTTTTCTCTGTTTTATAGAACTGTAAATCGAAACATCATGTAGTTCAGAAGAATAAACCATCAATTAAACAATAATCTAAATAATGCAACCCTAATTAAATGATGAATTAAAATCACCACCATTAATACTACTGTATATAAATACACTTCGTTAGTTACTTTTCTCAACACATTTCTAACGTGGAGAGCCCATGTTGACCAAATGCCCATAAATAAAAAACATCATCTTTAATTGTAATTAAGAGCAAAACAATGGAACGTCTTCATCTCACACTATTAACGTGCAATTTGTCGATCAAGGGCCCATTTTGTTTCATACAATGTAAGTTTGAATATTATGATAATAACAGTCAAATTTGGTTGACAGTGAAATTAATTGAAATAGAATTAACCCCTTAACCATCTGCCTGTGGTTCCTGCACTGGATACATAACATGTGCTTTATATTTTCACCACAGGCACAGTCTCCTGAAACATCAGCCTCACTATCACACTGCATCATTCGTCATCATCAGTGTCAACATGCAGCATGGACACACGCAGGCACATAATATAGAAACCAGCACACATGTGCACACAAACACACAAATATATATATATATATATATATAAATAAATCGCTGTATGAATAAATAACTATATGTGTGTGTGTATATATACACACACACACGCACACCCAGTCCTGTGTATTGTGATCTCCCTGCTCTCCCCACAAAGCTCTGATTGACGCGCTGCTATAGGAGCCATCTGCGCCCACTCACAGTGTGTAAGATCTTGGACATCTGTGTCTACATACAAGAAGGGATTGATGGAAGGGGAGATGGAGGAAGTGGTGTGTCAACCATGTATGTGTGTCGAGTACCAGTGGGGTGGATGAGGACTGCGAGAGGGAGTGGTCGTCACCTAATAAAGTCGGTTGCAGCTCATCTGCGTCAGTTGGACTTCGGTGTGAGGCTAGGCAAATGGAGTGGGTGGGTGTGGGCATGAATGGAGGTCTGTGGATGTGTGTTTGTGTCAGAATTTGTAGTGTACCACAGATGGGTTGAGCGTATGTGTGTATGTGTGTGTGTGTAGGTATATATTTTTTCTTACACTGGCCACTCTATGCACACCAACATCCTGGCATTGACGTTTATACACACTCGTCAGTCTGCAACCACAGAAAAGCACCACCACAATACTCAAATTACGACGACAAGACTTCATTCATTTTGAAGATAAGAAGTGTCGTCAGAGCCGTTTCGTTAACATGTGGTAGCCAGTCAGATTGCCTCTTATTCTCAGTTTACCAATCGCACACGAAATCGCAGGATCAGGAAATGAGTTAGAGTAAGGGAAGTAAGGAAATGTGATGACCAGAGGAGGTCCTCTTGTATTTCAACTATGAAGAAAAGGAAAAAGAAATGGACGTGGCAGAGAGCCAAGGTAGGCGGACAAATTGGAATGAAAAAATAAGAAGTTTGAAAGATTAGAAAAAGAGAAGAAAATAAAAGAATGGCAGACATTGAGACACAAGATAAAAGACTCAACAGCAGGTAAACAAACCAGAGGACAAATAGAAAGACTTTTCTTTACTTCTCTTCACTGCCATCTTGGCTGGATATGTGACAATCCGTCTCATCTGAAAGTGAGAGGCTGGAGCTGAACCCAGGAGTGCTACAAAACAGTCCGTCACGAAAGGTTTCCCCCGATGGGCCAAAGCAGAAATAACACTAATATTTCAACACTTTGCGATCTCTGACAAAGACACGGTGGCCTGTGCACACAAATGCACACAGAGAGGCTTTATCTGAGCTGGGATCTGCTGCGGTTTGGAGAATTGGAGGAACATGGGCGTGAGCACCCGAGGACCTCTAACCTAAACACAGACACGCTCGTTTGGAAATGGGAGCATGGGCAGATACAGGGCGCGCACCACGGCTCATACAAAATACAGTAACCAAGCAGAAGACAAGCAAAGAATAACATTACACACACACACACTTACACACAGACACTCACACACACACACACACACACATGCAACACAAATTCACTGCGCTCTGCTTTTAAAATGCAAGTACACACCCTTAAAGTGACATGCATATATTAATATTGACCCAAATGTTTACACCGCATCAATTCTTCCTGAACACACACGCACGCAGACATACTTCCCAGAAGTTAAGTTGTAATCCAATCAGTATTTCTGCTTATGCAGCATGAACTAGTCGAACAGTGAGCACACTCAGCAGCATCCACCTCGAACACACTCCCTGGCCCCGGACCCCCAACACACACACACATACACACACACACACACACACACTTGACACATTGAAACACACCTCGTCTCATGCATGCGTGCACTCACATGACACGCACGCCCCACACCACACACGGTCTGCTTACTCTAGCCCCCGGATAGGCAGAGACATTGAAACACATATACTCCTATGTATTCCACTCACATCATACACATACACACACACACACACACCCCGACACACACTCCGTTCAGTCCCCTTCCAACGCACTTTCTCTTGTTACACATATCCTCTGTCTGCTCTTTTTCACTCACACATTCTGTCTTTTTACAGATTCAAATACAGCACACATCCAGGCACGGTGGCCAATGCAAACACACACACACACCTGCATGCATCCAGAGATATGGTGAAATCGTTGCCTTGGCTCAAATTGTAGCTAAGTTTCAACATATGGCTGAAAGATGGATTTTTATCATTTGATATATTCTAAACTGCACACACTTACTTACTGAGGTTATATTCATTTCCATATAACGCTCCATGCACAAACACACTTATATTCAAGGACACCCCTCGAAAACTGGCAAATACAAGCAATTCATTCAAATACATTATCATGTGTCCCTTTGTCGTGCGCCATTATGGAAAATAACCTGGCTCTTGTCTTAAAAAAGCTCCGGGAGGGGGGGGGAGCTACATTCAAAATTCAAGTGCAATTGTCTGTGGAGTACTCTTCACTCCCCCATTCTCCAAACAGGCAGGCGCTTTAGACGCCTACATGCCACGCAATAGCGGAATAATGAAACGGCATGAAAGAAAGGCGACAGGGCATTAAATTGTGTTTATCTGAATGTGTGTACGTGCCGCTGTGTGAGTGTGTGTTTGAGTGACGTTAAACATAAAAGCCTGACAGAGGAAAACACTTGACTGAGATTCAACAGATGGGTAATATTCCATTAAACTAATGCAACACTGTTCAAGTGTCTCTCTTGTGCACATATACAGTGACGGCTGAACAAGAGAAGGGGGGGGGGGGACAAGCAAAACACATTTTACTTGTTCATTTCTTGTTGGTTGATACAGCTTTCTTTTTCTTGGCGAAAGGTGCACAATTTAGACCCGGTAGGTGTGTTTCTGTGGTTTGTCAGAGCGTCTACATCTGTGTATTACTGAAAAGCTACTCCATTGACAGGCAGGGGGGGGGGGGGGGAAAAAAAGACAGTTTGAAAAGAAAATGGCAGCTCAAAAGGAACCGGGTGCATAGAATTACACATTTATCTTTCAAATGCAAGGCTATAGCTCCATAAAAGCAAAGACACACAGTACTGTAATATCTCCAGTGGTTTGGTTTGGCATGCCACTCTCTCTGTCTTTCCCAACCCCTCCTTCTGAACGCTTTCTTTCTTTTTATTCTCCGTGTGTGGTGCGGTGTACGTTTTTCCCCACTCTCACGACGGCCACGGCCACAAAACACAGGTGTCGGAGAGAAAAAGACGAGACAGCCGCCCCCATGGAAATTTGCTGAGAGCTTTGCCTTAACAAAGTGCTCAAAATATTATCCTAAGCTCAAGGATATATCCACACATGCCTCAAAAGTTCACCTCGCTGCCTCCCTTTCTAAGCACGAGAGCAGG